ATATACCAACTATTATAAATGGAACAGAAGTTGATATTTTTGGATCTCCATGGCATGCTACACTTTACCTAGCAATGAATTCTACTGCATCAAAAGAATTTCTTTGTGGTGCAACTATCATTCATGAAAGACTTCTAATTACAGCAGCACATTGTGTTTTTGAGTTTGAGAAACTACGAGATGTTTCAAAATTTTACATACTCGCAGGCAATATATTTAGAGATTACGATTCTCCTTTTCACGATTTGAGATTTGTGAAGAAAGCAGAGGTGCGTTATATATCTATTTCATATCTACTGTATTTAATATTATTTTGATGTGTCCTTAATATGTATTTCAGGTGAAACACATATACTATATTTGCCGGTATAATGGATATATAGGAAATTTTGCTGACAACATAGCTGTATTAGAAATTAAACAACGATTTATATTCTCAAGTACATTATTGCCTATATGTTTAGATTACAGTGACAGAATTTCATTACATGATGGATTCTACGGGCAAGTCGCAGGATTTGGAAAAACTACTTATGGATCACTTAGTCCTATTTTACGAAAACTTGAAGTGCCATATGTTTCTTTTGATCAGTGTAGATTTTTAAACACTAATGATAATATAGAACAGATTCTTACACCGGATAAGTTCTGTGCAGGATATACAAATGGTTAGTAAAAAAAAAAACTACTTTGCTTATTTTGTGTTAAAATTAATTAAAAATATATTAATTATAGGATCAGCAGTTTGTGAGGGCGACAGTGGTAGTGGATTGATTTTTAAGAGCAATGGATTATCGTATTTAAAAGGCATTGTTAGTGCTATGTTAAGTAAAGAAACATTAGGAGGGAAGAAGATCTGTGATAGTTATTCATATTCTCTATATACTCGAGTTTCCAGTCATATGACATGGATTGCATCTATTATTTCGACAATCAATAATGGTGAATCACCATTAATATATTCATGCCCTTTATAATTACGTTTAAATGCTCAATAATTGCTTTAAAAAATTTAATGCTTGTTCTACGAGTGGTTTGCATAAAATTTTTTCTTTAATTGAATAACTTGTTAATGAAAATTTTAGAGAACTATCTATAACAATATACATTTTCTATATTAATATCTCATTTTAAATCATAAAGATATAATTATATTTCAAATTTTTAATAAAAAAATGTGCAAGATATTATTAAATCTACATTTTATTTTAAAAAAATAAAAAAAAGCTTTCATAAAATATGTGTTCAATTATATTTGTTTTCCTTATCTTTCCTTATCATTTCTACTTTTCTCTGTGGTTTTTGTATTTTTGTATCGAAGACTTCTATTATTTTGTCCTTTTCATTATAGACTATAATTGTATTGTTCGTTCTATATCTTCCTAGTAGTTTTTGGATATTATTCTTCATTTCTTTTTTTTTCCTTTTTCCTTTTGATTCTTCCCATTTCTTTATTTTTCTCAACTTTTCTTGCCAATATATAGCATCTTGGCAGGAAATCTTCTTAGGAAGGAACTATAGTTTCTTTGATTTTTTTTTTTTTATTTGAGGCTTCTATTTTATTACGAATGTTTCTTTCTGGTATTAGATATACTAACTCATGGATTAATTCTTTTTTTATTTTGTCTTATCTTATTCATCCTCAATCTATTATTTCTTCTATTTTATTTTATCATAAACTTACTTTTTTCTCTTCTTCATTATTGTGTGAGATGATATAATGCACTAATTCTGGCTGAGTTTCTAAATATCTGCCTGATTTTGTCTATTATCTCCTCTCTGAAATCTGTTATGATTGTAATTGCAAGATCAATGTCAATTTATTTTCTCATTTTCTTGATCTATTATATCTCTGATTGATCTTTTTACAGTACATTAATTCTGTTCATCATTCTTTGCAGAAACTTCTTTTTTAACTTACAAGTTTTTTTTTTAAACTTCTAATATCATGTACATTCAATAAGAATATTCGTCATATGATAGAGAGATAAGGATAGTTCCTTTAGATCATTCGCTAATACGCTATGCTATACAATTTTGTACAAACGAGCTAGATAAATCCCTCACTAATATTTTTAACATTTATTTGTTAATTAATTAATTTCTACATAATATTTTGTACTCAAAAATAATCACTTCTTTTTAACTATAGAACATATCAAAATATAATTTGAAAAATGTTTCATATTTTTCCAAAATTTTCAAAATTCCAAGAATTTCTATATTTCGATTTCGCTGATATTTTAAAAATGGATTTCTTTTAGATGAAAACAATGTTTACGAGAAGAACTTTTAACTCTAAAATTTAGAAGTTATCCAAGATACTAAAAAATTATCATTCCCTGCGTTAGCGATAGAGCGTAGTGCAAGATTACAATAACTGCTTATGCCTAATCACAGACGAGGTCACAAAACGATTAAATCACGTTAAGACGAGATACGCGCCTATAAATATATTCATCTAAGATTTTTGTTACAACTAAGCATGTTGTATGTTGTATGTTAATTTACGCATATGAAATTTGAATATTTATAAAATTCTACTTTATTGCTGAAACCTTTAAAGTAGAAAAAATAAAAAAAAAATGATAAGAAAATAGCTCTAATAACAAACAATCACTATTGCTCCAATAACAATAAATTGAACTTATATTTCATAATTTTCTACAAAGTACTATCGATTTAATTATTTTGTAAAAAAAGTTTGAAATTTGTATGTACTTGTAATACTTTTCTCATTTAATTTTATACATGAAATTACACTTTCATACATGTGAATATATTGAATTTATAATAAAACTTAACAAAGTTATAGCTAATAAAAAATATATATATGTAGTAGTATTTTCAGTAATGAACGTAGTCGTAAGGAGTGCTAAAAAAGAAAATCTAACCAGAAGGTTACTGACAAAGAAAATCTAGCCAAAAATAATAGCCACTCGAAAAGAAACCGCGATACAGCAGTCAGAAGAGTTACAAAGAACATTTCCTACACAATTCGTCAAATCTACATTCGACATAAACCCGAGTAATAAATCGTATTTTGTTTCGCACTAATTCACTAGCATTAATTGTGAAACAGGAAACTTTGTGAAAAATCAAACGCGAAGAGTGCATAATATAATTTAAATATACTTTCGAAAGTAAGTACGCAACGCTATTAATCTATGCACTCATATTTAGGAATACGCGACACTAATTGCGACGCGTCTAGTGCAAGAGATTAGTCGCATGCTAGAGATTGTTGATCAATGACCACTTTTGTACAGCTCTTGTAGCTGCGTCAGGTGATCCAGGAACAGGAACAGCCTTCCACGAATACAATGGAAGAATTTAGGCATTTCGTAAACGCAACGCTACTTCAGAAAAGAAACGCGAACATTCATTATCGCAACACTAACAATTAGACGAAAACTAATTGGAAGGACACACTAAGTGCAAAAGTAATTGAAAATCGCGATGAAATAATATCGCAACACTAAATCTGAAATCAAATTCAATGGAAATTTTGTCAACAATATAAAAGCTACTGTAAGAAGAAAAAAACTGCTTTGAATATTCTAACATTCTAAAATTAATTACAAGCAATTCTATAATATAATTTAAAAGAACAAAAAACAAGATAGACTTACATAACACTAAGACAACTGTGAAAATTAACAATCAAAATTGCAAAAAACAATCGCGGTATCATAATTCGCAACTCTAATTCAATCTGTAATCGATCTCTCGCAACACTAACAAGAAAAACCGCGATTTGCCCAAAACGATGACGATGATGGAGAAGAAAAAAAAAGTACAACTACAAATACTAAAAGAGCATAGTGACAAAGTAGCAACGAGAATGACGTCCCATGCTTTGGAATCGGTTGAACGATCCAGAGGATGAGAAGCCATTCGTTGTGACCCTCTTCGTGGCAGTTTGCCGGGCCTCTTCGGCTTTTAGCCTCT